TTTATATCTACTAACCATTTGTTTCATATGTAAATAAAATTTATAATCACATCATTACTTTTTAAAATTTATTATTCTCACCGACATAAAATTTATTATTCTCACCGACATAAAATTTATTATTCTCACCGACATAAAATTTATTATTCTCACCGACATAAAATTTATTATTCTCACCGACATAAAATTTATTATTCTCACCGACATAAAATTTATTATTCTCACCGACATAAAATTTATTATTCTCACCGACATAAAATTTATTATTCTCACCGACATAAAATTTATTATTCTCACCGACATAAAATTTATTATTCTCACCGACATAAAATTTATTATTCTCACCGACATAAAATTTATTATTCTCACCGACATAAAATTTATTATTCTCACCGACATAAAATTTATTATTCTCACCGACATAAAATTTATTATTCTCACCGACATAAAATTTATTATTCTCACCGACATAAAATTTATTATTCTCACCGACATAAAATTTATTATTCTCACCGACATAAAATTTATTATTCTCACCGACATAAAATTTATTATTCTCACCGACATAAAATTTATTATTCTCACCGACATAAAATTTATTATTCTCACCGACATAAAATTTATTATTCTCACCGACATAAAATTTATTATTCTCACCGACATAAAATTTATTATTCTCACCGACATAAAATTTATTATTCTCACCGACATAAAATTTATTATTCTCACCGACATAAAATTTATTATTCTCACCGACATAAAATTTATTATTCTCACCGACATAAAATTTATTATTCTCACCAACATATAGTCACTTTAACTCACACCTCACAATTGTGGAGTAATAAAATCTTGAAGAGCCCATGAAAGGTGTTTCATTTATTACTCAAATATTGATGAGAAGTGAAAGTTAGGTTGAAAGTTAGATTGAACATGCAGTGAACAAATAAATTAGATGAAACAATTACTTAAGTGGATGAACAATTTATGTTCAATTTTTTTTATTAAATTAAAGTTAGATGAAACAATTACTTAAGTGGAGAACAAATAATTTTGTAATAATTTATTATGCGATTTTATAATTTTTTGTTTACTTGATAAGATTGAATAAACAATTGGGGCTATTTTAATAGTTTTATAACTTATGGGCTTTTTATGTTTATGAGAAAATATACAACACAAAAATTTCATATCGCATGTCCAAACAAACCTTCAATTTCATCTCATGATTCCATATCATGATACCATATCATGATTCCATATCATGATATCATATTGCATGGCCAAACGGGCCCTAAATCTATTCTTACTATATGCTTTCTAAACCAATAAAAATAAAAATAAATTCCATGCTAGCATATAAATATTCCCTCCATTTTGGGAATAAAATGAAAATTTAATAGGTAAAATGTGAAATTAACCGTGGATATCAAAGTCATAGTAGATAGATATTTTCACACACTCTTATAGCTTATCGAACTTTTATTCGTTTAGGAGCTGAATACTTAGATATACGTTAGTTTGTAATGTTATGATTTTTATAAATTTTTGTTGTGTTCTGCCATTTTTTTAATGTATCTGATATTCCAAATACATACATATACATATATCTAATGATTCACATGTATTTGAAATAAATATACGAATTTCGCTTGCTTCTTCCCGTTCTCATTCGCCTCTCCCTATTTCAGTATATCTAGTAGCAAAAAACATGTATCCAAGTGTATCTGACTTAAAATTTGGTATGAAACTATTAGTTAGTGATATAGAATGTAATTATTTCAAATTATAATGAGAATTAGTAAATATGGTAGGATTGTGTAAATAGGTAGTTTTTCCAACTCTTATTGAGGATTAGTGGTGGCAAAGTCAAATCCGACAGTTTAATTCACCCAACCCATTTAAGTGACCCACTCATTTATTAGCTCACCTCATTTCAACCTATTAAAAATTGAGTTGATAAACTTGATATGTAACCCAAATTGATTTATGAGAAATCTAATCAAAGTATTTTTTATTTGATATGTTGTATATAACTATAATAAAGAAAAAATAATTTTATTAGATACTAAAATATTTTAAGAAGCACAAACAATACAATTAAAACTTAGTAAAAAAGATGGACTGGGTTGGATCTTGATCCGTTTCATAACTCATTACCTAATCCGTTTTGATATAAACAAATTTGGACTGAGTTGTTGTGTTGACTTATTTGTTATCTTGGCCCATTATACATTGTCTAAATTTGACTCAATCCTTCCAATTGTCAGAATGGTCACGGTCACGATACACCCAGTGGTGCAAATAAAAGCAATAGAATAATTTAGGGGAGCAAAATGCTGATGGACTTATAAATTATACTTTGTGCTTCTATAAGTTATCACAACGGTTATCCAAATTTTATGGCGCGTGTTAGCATGGAAGGAGCACATGAAAAGCTGCTGCATCTCACTTGTTAGTTTTCTCCTCTTCTTCTTCTTCCTCATCTCAATTTATTGTCATCTGTGTTCAGAGGTGGAGTCGGAGGTGTGTTTCGTTGAAAAATTATACTATGTAGATAGAAAAAAGTTGATTTATTTGCATATATATAAATTCCTTGGTATGAGAATTTTTATGTATTTTTTGAATCTCCTTGCTTGAATTCCTGGTTTTGCCACTTTCAGTGTTAAACGGAACTTTCACTGATTTTGGTTATTATTGTTCATGTGAATATACCATTTTTCTTCTTCTTCTAACTCCTCGCCATTTTTAGAACTTTAATTCAAAGAACATTCCTATCGTGGAGTAGCTGAAAAGCCCTATGTTGTAATTCTTCGGTAAAATCCGTTTCTGTGTAATAACTATTAAATCACATAGCAGATGTAAATCGTACTAGGCAAAGCCTATGCAACAAGCTGGCAGATCTAGAGTTATCAGGAATTGACACGGGTAATCGATCCCTGAGGTCCCTTGTGAAATACTACCTGATGAGCCCTTCGACTTTTGCTAGCTCCGTCCCTGCTCTAAATCTATCCCAATTTCTGAAGTATTATTGGATAACAACTTCTGAATTAATTTCCTTTATCTTTATGAATAGTCTAAATATGCTATTGATTCCGTCTCTTACCCAGAATTGACTTATTATTTTTTGCACTCTCTATCTAGCAGAACATTGTTTTCTATTATTAAAAAATGAATTTAGAACTCATAAGTTAGGTAAACAGTATCAAAAGTTTGATTATTGTTGATTCCACCAAATGCTGATGTAATATATTCGACCTTAGAGTATATAGTTTTATTCTTTTTGTTTATTTTAAAGGATTTAATTTATGGATAGAAGAGAAAAAAACAATACTACGTGGGATTCAAACTATCAATAGGATGAAAAATTGGTTAATCAACTGAGTTACTAAGATTGCGATCCACAATTTTGATTTTGATCTCTCTGTTTTTATGTTGTCCTGTTTCATTTGACAGTTGAAGAAGCAGAGTCATCTGAAAATGCAGATAACAGCAGTGTTCAATCAAGTAAATTTATACTATGGCTTCAAATATTTATCTTCACATTTTTTACTATTGGTGGTCAAGCAGCTGGCACTCTGTTGGGCAGAGTATACTATGAACAAGGTGGCCAAACCAGATGGATTGCTACATTGGCACAAACTGCTGGATTCTCAATTCTCCTGCCTTTCATTTGCTATCCTTCACCCAAAAACCACAATGAAGATGAACTAACCATTCACCAGCCTTCTATATTTGTTCGCGCTTCGGTTTACATCTTCCTTGGTTTATTTCAAGTAGCAAACTCTATGTCATTTACAGTTGGAGTACAGTACCTTCCTGCCTCAACTTATTCTCTAATTTCCGGTTCTCAATTGGCCTTCAACGCGATCACCTCCTTCCTCCTCAACGGACAAAAAATCACTGCAATTATACTCAACTCCATCGTGCTACTCTCCTTTTCATCCTCTGCTGTTATTTTCCAGAATGAGACAGGTGATAGCGGAGAAATATCTCAGAAATCTCTGCTAATCGGATTTGCAGCTACCACTTTCGGGTCTCTAGGTTACGCTTTACAGTTCTCATTTACAGAACTCGCATTCCAAAAGGTATTCAAAAGTAGCACATTAAAAGAAGTCATGAAAATGTCGTTTTTCATAGGTTTTTTCGTGACGATTGCTTCGTTAACGGGGCTTTTCGCGAGCGGTAATTGGAGGCATTTGGAGAAGGAAATGAGAGAGTACAGAACAGGGAAATCATCATATGTTACAAACTTAGTTTGTTCTGCTATTGCTTGGCAGTTATATGCTCTTGGATCATGTGGATTGGTTTTTAAGGCATCTTCTTTGTTCTCTAATGTAGTCATCAATTTGGGAACTTCAATTGTGCCAATTTTTGCAATGGTGTTCTTGAAAGATAGAATGACTGGATTGAAAGTGTTTTCATTGTTATTGGGATTATGGGGATACACATCATATATATATCAACATTATCTTGATGATTTAGAGGCAAAAACAAGTGAAATTAAGGCCTCAGATGATCAGGTTGATGATTTTTAGTATGCCTTTCATTCAAGAAACTTAAATATCTGAACAATTAGCTTTGTAATTATGATTGATAAGTTCAATATGTAAAGTTATAGCTTATTGTTTAATCATGTAAATTTCAAGATTTCCGTGTAAATTGAACTGCTATTCATATATCTAATGTATTTGTGTATCTTTTGTTCTTCGATATAAAGGGTGAGTCTGGTTTCCAATTTTTTCATATTTCGTGGTCAAATAAGTTCGGTTTCATATTGATTATGTCCTCTCACCATCTACTATGATAGGATCGAAATAATCAAGTGTCATGTGAAACCTAACAAAGCAAACCTCAAAAGATAGTAAGTAAGAAGTTAAACGAGAAATTACCAAAAGACACAGATTTAGCGTGGTTCGGTCAATCAACCAACATCGCAAGAGGAGATGAGCAATCTACTATGTGTAAATGAGAATACAATACGTAGAGAAATCTCACTCAATTTACTCGAAATACAAAGATGTTACGTGTCATTTGTCAAGATGGCATGCCCTTATCGTTTATAAAACAACTCACGCACAACCAACCCAACCAACACAACAAACTTTCACCCCATTAACAAAAAATGGCACCAACTTGTAACCAATCAAACTTGCGTTTGGTCACGTCAAGTCATAATTTTAAATCAATGTTTGAGTGTGCATTTAATTCTATTTATATTACAAAACTCGAACCTATAAATTTATATTTTATAAAAATAATTTGTGTATTATTTTTTTTAAAAAGAAGATAAATATGAAGAGATTATTTGAACCATGTGAAAATATTCTATCAAAAAATAACTAGTAACTACTCTTGTTGATTAGCGGATCTTAGTAAAATAATATATATTTGGAAGTTTATAATTATAAACATTTATTTATTGAAGAAATATGCATACATGTTATTTATCAATGCATCATTTTAGGATATTTTAATATCTTATTTATGAATTATAATTTGCTCATTTGATAGGATTATATAATATTCTTTAAAAAATCTGAATAATTTTTACAACCAGAAGATTTTAATATAAAAAACCCCCATAAAAGATCCAAGTTACGTATTCAAATTAAATTTTAAATCATGATTCAACTATATCCAAATTGACCTTAGAATCTTTTTAGAACCAAAAAAGAAAAAAAGAAACTTTTGGATCATTTCATAGATTCAATTATTTCGTTGTCCAAAATGACCTTAGAATCTCTTTTGAAACAAAAAAACAAAAAAAGAAACTTCAGTATCTTTTCAAAGATTCAATAATTTCGTCCTTTGGGACCCTCCCCCGGTTGTACTGTCCTTTTCTCTTTTGATATTTGTTGAGCAAATTAATTTTATTTTTTTTAAAATTAATATGAAGAGATTATTTGTACCATGTGAAAATATTTTATCAAAAAATAACTAGTAACTACTCTTGTTGATTAGTGGATCTTAGTAAAATAATATATATTTGGAAGTTTATAATTATAAATATTTATTTATTGAAGTAACATGCTTACATACGATTTATTAATGCGTCGTTTTAAAATATTCTAATATCTTATTGTATGAATTATAATTTGCTCATTTGATATGATTATATAATTTTCTTTAAAGAAACTAAATAATTTTTACAACCTGAAAATTTTAATATAAAAAAAAACCATAAAAGATCCAAGTTGCGTATTCAAATTAAATTTTAAATCATGATTCAATCCAAATTGACCTTATAATCTTTTTTGAACCAAAAAAAAAAAGAAAAAAAGAAACTTTAGATCATTTCACAGATTCAATTATTTCGTTGTCCAAAATGACCTTACAATCTCGTTTGAACCAAACAAACTTTTGGATCTTTTCAAAGATTCAATTATTTCGTCCTTTGGGACCCCCCCCCCCCCCCGGTTGTACTGTCCTTTTCTCTGTTGATATTTGTTGAACTAATTAATTTTAGGAAAAATTAGGTGAATTGACAAATATTATTAGTATATTATTTAATATAGTTATAATTTTATATAATTATGAATTACGATTACAGTTTAATGAAATTTGATATAAAGAATTTCAGGTATTTGTACAGATTCTATTTGTATATATTTTTGTATTTATATATGTATTAATACCTTTTAAATTATATTGTGCATATCTATATGTATTTGTGTATATTTAAATATTTTTTTATTTTTGGTTGTATATTTTTTTGGGTATATTATCACCCATAATACTTTATACAAATCAATTATATAATTTCAACACTTATATACAATTACTTATTTATCTATATTAATAGTGTGAATACAATACAAATAATTGTATATAATATGTTACTTTATAAATTCAATTTGTATAAATAATTAGATAAACTATGGCTAAGAAAGATTATTACATTTATTCTCTTAACTTTTTTTCCCTTTTAATTTTACTGATGTCCATTTATTTTTTTATTTTATACTATTATTTAACTTTATCTAAATATCATAAAAAGTCGTTAGTCGTTGAGTGTAATATTTTTTATTAAGACGTTGACACAAATTTTTGTATCATTTTAAGACTAGCTTCAATGCACTACTCTCTCTCTCTCTCTCTCTCTATATATATATATATATTTAAATAAGCTATTTTAAAGATTTTACTCTGTAAAACGTTATTTTTTATACATAGACACGTATCTATAATAGAATTATATATCTTTTGTATAATGTATAATTTATAAATATTCTATATCCGGACCCTGCCTCCACCTACAATTAGGTGTGTGACATAGTTGCTATCTACCAAAATGTACAAATAGACACACACCAACAAAAATGGAGGGGTCCTTTGCGCGATGTGACCATATCTTTTCGATGTTCAATATTTATATTTTAATCAGAAGAAAAAATATTTTGTATTAAGTATTATTTTTATATTTAAAATTTAAACTCGAAATTTTAATTGAAGAAAGTACAACTCATTTGCTGCATAATATTCTTATTCTTTGATGATGAGTTGTGACTTGTACCAACGCATTTCTTATATATTTAGGACAATTGTGCTTCTATTTACAATATACTTAATTGTTTAGTAAATTATTTTTAATAAATGACTTCTTTCTTTTTAAATTTCTCTTTATGGTTTTTTATTTATTATGGTGAAAGCTTTTTTTTTGAAGAAATTAATTTTTTATGAGAAAACATTAAATTAGGATTTGAAATTTTGGAGAAGTAATTTTTTTAATGGTCAGGTTTGGAGGGGTTAAAAATAGGTGAAATAATTTTTTTTATGTCACATGACATTTTTGACATTAAAAAAATATTTTTTGAGATTTTATTAATTTAGACTTTTAACGAAAGAGTAAACATATATAATTTGTTAGATGATGAGAATATTTATACACTACTTTTTAATAAAAGTATATCCAATATAAATCGTCTGTATAATAAAACAAACTTTTGTCCATGCAATTCTATAAGTTATAAAATTGGGTGTCTATAGACCATAGTTCATCACTGAGTAAAAGAAAATGTAACGACCGGGTTTCGTCGTTATAGAAAAATCAATAGAGAAAAGTTTTGGGTCGGAAAACTTTTTCGTAATAACTTGGAACTTTCCAACCTAGTCCAGATTTGGACGAAATCTGAGTCTTTAAGGTGTAGGGAAATCTGGTAACAATCGGGTGAATTAATTATGATTTTGATTACATGAGTGGATAGCTAAGACGTTAAGGACCCGTACGACTTTACGGAATCGAATTCAGGCGAGTAGAACTCCCGAAAATGATCTTAGCGTAAACCGGTAGTTGTTGAATATCAAGGGTTGAAGGTGTATGGTGAAATAGGGGCTTGGAATTCAAATTTCAACATTTTGTCTTCGTGCATCCAGATGTAACGGGATTTTGCTGTTGCGGGATCTCGCTGTAGCGAGATGGGTCCCGCCGTAGAGGGATAGACGCAATTTAAGTCGGAAATAAAACCCCAAAAAAGTTATTTTCTGCAAAAGTTCATTCTTAAGAGCTAAGAAACGACCCAGGGCTATTTCTTGAAGGTTTTCCACCTCTTCAAGCACTAAAGGTAAGGATTTTACTCCCCTAATCCCTTTTCGATCCGTAGAACTTGGATTCTTGGTTAATTACTATTGCAGAAGGCTTTTGATCTGAAACTAATGGTGGAAAAAGCCCTAAATTGGGTATTAGGATCTTGGGTTTGGTCTAGGGTTATTGGATTTGTTATAATCCAGATAATTAGACATTTGATTGTTGAAC